AAGGCTATTAAATCAAAAAACTTGTGACCAAAGTAGTCAGAATTTTACATGTGATTTTTATACTAAAAATAAAATTTTGAACATGATATAGCTAATTATTTTTAAATTATTCTTTTAAGTTCATTTTATGTTATGAGGCTGATACATAAGGAAGGAGTAATTGTGGATTAGAGAAAGTGGTATTTAGCATAACAGGGGCATCCCAACCTGATCTAGGAGAATAAAAAGCTATAGGAGAATTATATGGCCTGCTTAGATTGATTTTTAAGTTCTCAATGTTGTTGATCCAACCATTTGGGGAACAAGGGAAAAAGTTATCAGAAAACAAATAGCAACTAAAACTGACATAACTATCTTAAGAGGATATAAAGATGGATTGCCTAATATCCAGTGTGGGAGTCATGGAGTTTCCCTGGGAAATGATGAAGTCATCGCAATGGGCCAATGTTACTTCACTGATTTCACAAGCTACATATGAAGAGAAATGTTGTGTGGAAAGTCTGCCTGTGGACTAAGCTATTGTAAGACTTCTGGTTCAAGGAATCCTGAATTCCACGCTGTGTGAGACTCAGGATAATAATAACTTAGTATTTTCCAGTTTTACAAAGAACCTTAACATGTATTATTTAATCCTTCCATTAATACTCTTTATATATAAACCTTAAAGTACAACTTGGCCAAAGTCATACAGTTTGTAAAAGGCCTTCCACTTTATATAGTGAATGCTTTCTAACATTTGAAACTGCCCAATGTAAAGCCAATTACTTGTACTGAAGAAAGCTATTGTGTGGGCTGGCTTTATAGCTCAGTGGTACAGAGCTTGCCTAACATGTGTGAGACACGGGGTTCAATTCTCAACACCACATATAAATAAATAAAATACAAGCCAGCTTGGTGGCACATGCCTGTAATCGCAGCAGCTCGAAAGGCTGAGGCAGGAGGATTTCAAGTTCAAAGCCAGCCTCAACAAAAGTGAGGTGCTAAGCAACTCAGTCTCAAAACACAAAATAGGTTTGAGGATGTGGCTCAGTGGTTGAGTGCCACTGATTTCATCCCTGGTACCAAAAAAAAAAAAAAAAAAAAAAAAAAAACAACATTTTGACAACTAAAAAAAAAAATTTTTTTTAAAGACTGCTATTGTGTGACTAACCCACAATAATTTATGACCCTTTCAATATTACTAGCAGATTTACTTTAATAATTATGTTTTACCCATTATTAAATATTACTGTTTTCATAGCTAAGGTAGATCAATGTCAGGGAAAAATGAACCAGAAGTATACTGGGTGACTAGAGTTTGACTTTTTATGGACAGTCTACACATAGATAATTAAAATATATCAGTAGTATATTCTTTAGCCTAAGAATTTTATTAGGTATTTACTCTATCTGATTTAATTAATCCTCTTAACAATCTGAGGTGAAACAGAACTTTATCAACCTCTGTTTAGAATTGCCAGACAAGGGGCCCAGGTTGTGGCTCAGTGGTAGAACACTTGCCTAGCATGCATGAGGCACTGGGTTCAATCCCAGGCACCATATAAAAATAAACAAAATAAATGTATTGTGTACATCTACAACTTAAAAAAAAAAAAAGCAGACCAAAAGTAATTTTTTTGGCATAGGTATCTCCATATCTTTTATGTGACATACTTACACTTTAAAGAAAAATAGCTGATGGGGCTGGGGATGTGGCTCAAGCGGTAGCACGCTCGCCTGGCATGTGTGCGGCCCAGGTTCAATCCTCAGCACGACATATAATCAGTGTCCACCGAAAACTAAAAAGTAAATATTAAAAATTCTCTATCTCTCTTAAAAAAATATATATACAACGTGGCTGTGATAAATACTCAGCAGGAGAGGGAAAGTGATATGGAACAATTAGAGATGAATAAAAAAAAAAAAGAAAGAAAGAAAGAAAAAGAACTGGTGTGGTACATGCCTGTAATCCCAGCTACTTGGGAAAGTGGGATCAGCCTGGGCTTGATTCAAAATAAAATAAAAACGTCTGGTCATGAAGCGCAGAGATAGAATGCTCCTGAATTCAATCACAAGTACACAAATTCATCATTGTTTATCTGAAATTCAAATCTAATAGAATGTCCTGGTTTTTTTTATTGTTGTTGGTTTTTTTTCTTCTGTTTCTTTTGTCTCTCTTATTAAGAAGAAATTACTCTTCTCCTTCTCTTGGGGTAGGGGTGGGGGACGAGGGAAAGAAGAGAGGAAACAAAGATTACTTCAAATACATTGCAGGGCCAGGGTTGTGGCTCAGTGGTAGAGTGTTTGCCTAGCATTCGTGAGGCACTAGGTTTATTCCCCAGCACCATATAAAAAATAAACACAAATAAAATAAAGGTATTGTGTCCATCTACAACTAAAAATAAATAAATAAATAAACAAACATTGTTGGGCCTTGGGATGTAATAGTGGAGTGCTTGTTGCCTAACATGTGCAACTCCTTGGGTTGCATTCCTAGTACTGAGGAAAACACACATACTCTACAAACTTCCCTAACTAATTGTCTTACAGATGTTTGGATGGTAAGAGGAGCCAAAAGTTAGAAGCGAAAAATTATTAATGTTTTGAATGGCTTTTACAGAAATCTACTGAAGGAACTATATCAAGTCCCAGAAAATTTCTAATCCCAGATTTATCTATAAATCTAAAATCCTAATCCTAATTTTAAGTAAGATTTATTTCTCTTTACAAATCAACCTTGGTGCTATTTTGCAATGAGCATTGTAAAATGTTAGAGAACTGCAAAGGACCTTGGAGATCATCTAATCACCTAGAACCTAACTTTTAAATCTTAACCCTGACCAGTTATCTGCAGGACATGTGAGGACTTTCTATACAGTGCTTCTTTTACCTACTGCCAGGAGATTGTCAGCCTGCCTCACTTTTTCCCTATTGTTGCCTATGCCCTCTCCCAGACTCCTCTCCTTGTCTGAGTACACAACATTCCAAATGCCTTTTGTTCTTAGGTCTTAAAGTCTTATCTATGGCTCCAACGTGGCTGTGATAAATACTCAGCAGGAGAGGGAAAGTGATATGGAACAATTAGAGATGAATAAAAAGAAACTGAGATTAGCTGAATATTTTCTGAAGTCTTCCTTCTACAAAGGAAGGCCACTAGCCCTCAGAAAAACTGTTTTTCATGAGCAGATAGCACTTTTTGGATACTTAGCAATGGCTTTAAACCATAAGAATACAATATATTTCTATGAGTATACAGAAAATAGTGCCAAGAGGGCCTGATTTTTTAGTAGTTGATCAATAAATATTTATTGAATGAATACCCCAAGGTCAAGTTTTGTTATTTTTCCTGCTTTGTCACAGCTATTCCTTATTTTTTCCATCTATATTGAGGGGGGAAAAATCATGAGACCTGCTTACTTAAAAACAAAGTTTTGGGGCTGGGGATGTGGCTCAAGCCGTAGCGCGCATGCGTGCGGCCCAGGTTTGATCCTCAGCACCACATGCAGGCAAACATGTTCTCCCTGCCGAAAACTGAAAAAAATAAGTATTAAAAAAAAAATTTAAAAAAAAAAAAAGTTTTGCATTAGATATACTTTTTAAGTTCTTTTGATACTTGATATTCCAAGCCCACTGCCAGTATATCTCAGTCCTAATCATCATCATCTTTTAGTATAACAGCCTCCTTATTTTTTCAGTGCACTCAGTGATCTTTCTAAAATTCACATCTGATCATGTTATTACAGTTCTTAACCTTTTAGCTCTTTGTGGTATTCAGAACAAAGTCCATACTTCTTGACCTGGCATGCCTGTCATATTTGGCCACTTATGATAAATCCCTGTCTACCTCCTGACCTCTTCTCACTCCTTTTTTTATTTTTATTTTTTGGTGCTGGGGATTGAACCCAGGCCCTTATGCTTGTCTTGCACAAGCACTCTACCAACTGAGCTACACCCCAGCCCCCTGACCTCTTCTCACTCTTGAATCATCTTTGCTGCAGCCAGGCTGCATTCTTGCAGGATCAAGACATACCACACCCTGTCTTTCAAGGTTTTACTCTCACTGTACCAAAACTTAGAACACTTTTTTCTCCTATCTCCCTTCATCTTACTTTGTTAAAGTAACTACTACTTAGTCTTCAGTTATTGATCAATTTATATTCTCACAGAGCCAGTCTTTTTACACTCACCTCTTGCTGGAACTCTGTGTCTGTCTCCAGCATTCCCCATGCTAGACTGGAAGTCTGGTACCATCAAACTCCATGGGGAGCACCAAGTCACATACTCTGATGTATACATAATCAGACACAATCTGCAGTCTTAGCTGTATCCCCACAGGAGTTTAGAAGTCCTATAAATCTGTGCTTCCCATTCTAACAATAGACTAATACCCCACAGTGACATTACCTGTTGTCATTCTCTTCCACACAACTGTAGCTTTTATAATGCTAAACACTGGAAGAAAACAAAAGGAATCAAATATGTAGACCATAGGATTATGGTTAGTCCCATAATAGAGCTGTTATTTTTTTTTATAAATGTTGTATAAACCCTAAGGAAAGCATACTTATTGTTTCTAAGAGTTTAAAAGAATGAAGGAACATTTGAACATTTGAAAGATCACTGAGTGCACTGAAAAGACAAGTCAGGAAGCTATTATACTAAAAGATGATGATGATTAGGACTGAGAAACTGGCAGTGGGTTCAGAATATCATGTGTATATATTACATACACTCACAGAAATGGTAAAAAACTATATTTTAAGCAAGAAAAAGAGTGCAGAGATAGTTTGGTGTGACTAACTAGATAGAAGTGAAAAAGAATGTAAACTAAGATAAATTATGTAAGGCCCTGAGTACTATATTAATCAATATGAATTTTATTCTGTTGACGGCAAGCCATTGAAGAGATTTAAGCACAACAAATATATAATCCCATTTGTATACATTTTATTTTACTCAATATTATTTTTACTATGAAATTAAGCATACTTGTTTTCATTTCTGTCTTGTTTTGTTTGCAGTATTGGCGATGGAATCCAGGGTCTCGCACATGCTAGAAAGCACTCTTCCACCAAATTAAACCTACAGCCCTATTCTTTGTTTTTTGTTTTCTTTTGTTTTAATTCTAGAAAAATGCATAAGCAAAAGACTTCTATAATCCCAATTACTTGAATTTGCTACTGTTAATACTGTTATAATGTTTCATATTTTCTTCCTGTGCACATGTGTTTCTCTGTAGTTTATTTATTTCTAATAATTAGATTATTCTAAATATAACTTTTTGCCACTGCTTTTTTGTTTTAGGCTTTTTTTTTTTTTTTTTTTTGGTACTGGGGTTTGAACTCAGGGGCACTTGACCACTGAGCCACATCCCCAGCCCTATTTTGTATTTTATTTAGAGACAGGGTCTCACTGAGTTGCTTAGCACCTCACCATTGCTGAGTCTGGCTTTGAACTTGGCGATCCTTCTGCCTCAGCCTCCCAAACTGCTAGGATTACAGATGGGCGCCACGCTGTCCAGCTTGCCAATGCTTTTTTTAAAGTAATCATGAGTATCTTATGTGAGGACATAAATCACAAAAACATTATCAACCATAATAAGAACACAAGCATATGTAAATATACTCTATTTCACTGATATTAAATATAGAAATGACATTCCATTTCATGTATAAGTTTGGACACATTAAAAAGAATGATTAATATTCAGGCTTTTTTTTTTTAAGAGAGAGTGAGAGACAGTGAGAGAGAGAAAGAGAATTTTAATATTTATTTTTTAGTATTTGGCGGACACAACATCTTTGTTTGTATGTGGTGCTGAGGATCGAACCCAGGCTGCACGTATGCCAGAAGAGCACGCTACCGCTTGAGCCACATCCCCAGCCCAATATTCAGTTTTGATGGGGATATAATGTAATTAATGGGAATAAAAGTTAGTACTTTAGGAGATGGCAATCTAGCAATTTTTCAAAATTTAAAATACGTGTATCTTTGAATTACCAATTCTAGATATACAGAATTTTCCTACAAAATACCCTCAGAAGTACACAGAGATAAATAAATGCAAAAAAAAAATGTTTATTGCAGCATTATTTAAAATAGAAAAGCAATCTAAATGGACAATAAATTATGGTGTCCCCTACCATATTATGATCGCTGTGCAGTATGTTCTGTGCTCTAATGAAATAATGTCTGTGACTGTTGGACGAAAAAAATTAACAAAATGCTGAAATGATATATGTACTTATATAATGCCATTTTTGTAAAATTAAAATTGTGCATGTATACAAGTGGAGTAAGTATATGTATTCATCTGTGATTTTATGTCCAAAAATAGTATATGTGTCCATATGTGTGCATTACATACACCCAAGTTTTTAACCATGGTTAAACTTGAAATACAATAATAATGCTGTGAAAGTCTTTAACTTTTTGATTTTTACATTTGTGTGTTTGTTTTGTTTGTTTGTTTGTTTGTTTGTTTGTACCAGGGACTGAACCCAGAGGTGCTTCTGCTAAGCCATACATCCTCAGCTATTTTTTATATTTTATTTAGAGACAGGGTTTCACTGAGTTGCTTAGGGCCTCACTTAGTTGCTAAGGCTGACTTTGACCCTCCTGCCTCAACCTTCCAAGCCAATGAGATTACAGGCATACACCACTGCAACTGGCTTTTTTTGAAAATTTTTTTAACCTTTTTATTTTATTTTTATTTTTTAATTAATTTACTTATTTTACAGTAGAGTGCATTTTGACATATAGTATACAATTGGAGCACAACTTCTTATTCCCCTGGCTGTACATGGTGCAGAGTCACTCCACTACTGCAATCATACATGTTTATAGGGTAATAATGTTGGTTTTGAAATTTTTAACAGTGAAAATATATTATTTTTAAAAAATATTTTTTAGTTGTTGATGGACTTTTATTTATTTATTCATTTATATGTGGTGCTGAGAATTGAACCCAGTGCCTCACAAATGCTAGGCAAGCGCTCTACCACTGAACCACAACCTCAGCCCCAAAATATATTATTTTAAAATATACAGGGAGCCTGGGTACAGTAGTACATGTGGGCTGGGGATGTGGCTCAGTGGTTGAGTGTCTCTGACTTCAATCCCTGGTATATATATGTATATGTATGTGTGTGTGTATATATATAATAGATAGATAGATACACACATACACACACACATTACACTAATAAAGGGAAAAAGTAAAATAAATATAATCCAAAATGAAAAATATATAGTGAAGAAATATGTATCTAGACACTTGTTCAAATCAATATATTTAGTCATGTTTTAAACAGTTATATGTATTTCATTTGTGGCTACACCTTTTATTCATTCTACTCCTACTGAGAGGCTTCTCTGTAATGGGAACCAGATTGGGTATTGAAGTAAGTAAGCATTTAAACAGAAAGTACTAGAAAAGATCTTTAAGAAGGGTAATTAGGGGGGCTGGGGATGTGGCTCAAGCGGTAGCACTTGCCTGACATGAGTGCAACCCCGGTTCGATCCTCAGCACCACATACAAACAAAGATGTTGTGTCCGCCGAGAACTAAAAAATAAATAT